TGGCCCCCCTGGCACCCCCTGGCGGCCCCCCGGGGGGTCGGGGCCCCCACTTTGAAAAACACTTCACTAGCCTATTACACACTAGCATAAATTGATTTGATTTGCTTGGACCTCCCTATCAGAAGTATTTTCTGGTTCAGCTTGGTTTGCATTGTCACGCTCTTTGGTTCACTCTTTTATTTTGTTCCTAACGTCGTTTCTCTGCGGTTGAAAATCCTGCCAAATGATTTGGACATGCTGCTTTTATCCTGAGCGTTATGAGAGCGAAAAACAAGAATGGGAGAAGTGGAAGGGTTAAAGGTGAAATAAATTGTTACGTGATGATATGCTGCCATCACATGTAGCTCTTAAAAACAAAAAGTCTTGACTTTGGATGCTCAAACTTTAGATACTTTCAAAACATATTGAAACAAATTCTTAAAGTATTCATTTCCTATGTGGGCTTGTTGAAACATGTGCCGCTTAATTATGAATTTATGCTCAACTGCGGTGCTGTTTTACATTTAGTTGGAACATAAAAGAGTCGTCAAACTATCATTGATGTGGCTGGGCCGGGAGGTCGCGGTGAACCACAGTTGATGAGTCCCAGATTTTGGCTTTGAACCGAACTTTTCTTTGTGTGGATATTAGCATGAGTGTGTTCTTACAGCTATGTACCGAAGAAGGGATGAATGAAAACCCTTTACACTCAGTGTGGTTCAGATACATGACAGTTGGATTGTACTTCCTTGGAGAGTAACCACATGGCATGACAGTAAAGTGAGTAAAGGGGAGCCAGGCATTCACTGTTAATGTGTCAGGGTAAATGAACACAGAGGCTTACTGTAATAATGTGATTATAATGACAAATGTACAGAATGACTTCTTATAATTGCCATTTTTTTGTTTTCTTACAAGACATTAGTTTCATCCCTTATTACCATTAGAGACATTAAATTCCCCTGACTACTTTCTTTCTTAACAGAACTTGATTACTTGTTATGCTTGTCACATAATCACCTCCAGATCAGTTTACAGAATCCAAAACATCTCGGCTGTGTCTGTTTTTCTGCAATAATAGTGCCATTTTCTTTTTTTTTATAGAAATAGGAACATTTTAATCCAGACTGAAATACTTTGACAATTGTTGGATGGATTTGTTTGGAATCTGGTTCAGACTTTCATGTTCCCCACAGGATGAATTGTAATGGTTTCAGTTTTCTGACTTCTTATTTAGTGTCAACATTTCAACACTTTGGTTTACAACCAAATAATTACAAAACTAATGACATAATGAAAGCCTCAATGGTATATTGTGTTGCTAAGGCTAACCTATCAGTAATCACAACATAGGAAGTTTGCTATGGTTATAAAAGGGTTTTCCGAAATGTTCTGAAAAAAGCCAACCAATCTGAACCTTAAAAAGATTCATTCAGAGAAAATGTTATTTGGCAAATTTCAAAGCCCACGTTAGGGGTACTGTTGAAAGCTCTGGGATGTGTTTTCTTCACCACAAAAACGATTTGGAAAGTGAGCTGAAAATAATTGAATGTTGAGTTGGATACTGACAGTTTATCATTTGTTTTATTTCTGTTATGTTTTTTATTATTGGATATCTGTTTCTCAGCTACTAAAAAAATCAAACAGATGCATGTAATGATTCAGCTCAGAACTTGGCTGAAACGCGTTTTTAATATATCCCTTTTTCCGTTTTATCTATCAGGGGAGTGACGACGACTTTGAAAAGGTGTATGAACAGTGCGTACGTTGCTGCACAGCGTTCCTGAAGATGAACTCCTAACAACATCCAACCTTAAATGACCTGTGCAAAATCAACCAAGTAATCTTCAACTTCGTTACAAAAGCACTAGTCACTATATTGTAACACTTATGTGAGTTTCACTGGAATACCAGCAGAAAACACATTTGTTTCAGTGTTGTAAATGTTATACAAACCACACATTGTGTTTATTTAGGAAGATGCTGCCTCGATGAATTTGTAGAAATCAGGTGAATAAAGGAATAGATAAATCAGTACGACTACCAGAGACTTATTTATGCACACAAATCATTAAACTTATCAATTTAAGTATGTTAAATATGTCTGAAGATATCCTGCTGACGATAATGCATGACAACATCTCTGAGGTCAAAAGCCGACACGGGTCAAAGGTAATGTTAGCCTAAATGCTAATCTTCCTGGATATTCTATTAGATGCTGCGTGGTTAGGTTATGTCCTTTGCACAGCTCGTTTGGTGTATGGCTTCTTTTATAAGACCTAATAAGACAAGATTATTTTTTACAAATATTAGATATCAAATATATATGATTTAAAAAAAAAACCTGACCTGTTCACACTCAATTCCTTTTAACATTCCTCCTTTTAATAGTTACTAATCCAACTGTGCAGAAACCATCACTATTTAAATGGTGATTATCGCATGAGTAAGGACTCTTCAGAGCCAAAACAAATTATCATTAATTGGGATTTATCGACGCTCCTTACACCACAGCAAGGGGCAGAACATAAAGAAGAGATATTAATCATTAGACAAGACTGGAATTTAGATTTAGGGAGGCTTACTTGTCAAGCAGGGCGTTAACTGGGAAGGGACTTTCATGGAAAGCAGAGGTACATTGAGTGCATTTGTATGTGGTCCAATCTCATCTGTGCTTTATTTAGTGTTGAAATAAAGACTGTAAGGCAAAGTAATTCCCTATGTCTCCTGTAGTCCAAATGAATAATGGCTATGAAGTCGACTTAAAGAAAGAAATGGACAACTTTGGACACATGCTTTTAGCCCCTTGCAGAGCGTTAGTTGAGAAGGTCGATACCGGTTATATGCTTAATATAAAATGTGCACTCAAAATAAGCGAGTAGCCTGGCACTGTCTACCAGCTATCATAAGGCTCAAACATCACATTTGAATGAATACACAAGGCATAATAGATAGAAATTACCATTTGTTTTTTCACATGGGTTTATCTCCCAGATATCACACTGGAAACATTCATAAACTACAGTGTCAGCGATGGTCATACATGTGGGAATTTTTAGGGAAATCAGTAGAAGGTCTAAGGGTTAAGAAGTAATGAAGACATTAAGTGATATTGACTTAACATGTTATTTCTCTTTGGTTTAAGAAACAAAAGAACTTGGTGTTTGCTATTTCCATAATAAAAAATAACGGCTACGGTCTCTGTGCCAGGTCCTGAAGTGTAATCTCAAAACATAGTATAAAAATAAAGACAGTTTCATCAGAGTCTATTGGCAAAACAAAAAATGGTTGTGTTGCATTTTGGCCCTTTAAAGATAAAGGAACCTCTTTTTTTTCTTCCGAGTACTAATGACTGAAATGGACTGAACTGCTGTGGGAAGCTCTGCAGATCTGAAGTCGCAGGACTCGCTCCAGTCATGTGTTCATTCAGGGAGCATTCCACATGTCAAGACGGGAACATAAGAAAGTCGTGCACAAAACAAGAAAGACCACTCAAATTTGTACCAATCTTATAATTTATTTAAATATATTTCATTTTTAGATATATATATGTATATATATATATATGTATTTAACAGCAATTTGATAAATGCCAACCACTTTCATTTATGGTAGATAGGTGGATTCCTCTTATGCTTTGCTTTACAGTATATACATATTTATCTTGTTTCATATGGCCAATAGTATGTACAATGAAACCTCGTGACAACTCAAAAATATAAATATAGACTTTACCACGCTCTACCAAGATCCACAGGAGGGCTGCAACTTACAACCACCACTTCCTTTTTTACCATATCTTGCAAAGACCCAGAGAAATGCTCATGCAATGAATAATGTAATCACAAGTGTTTCTCAGTGTGAGCACAAATGGGATAAACTATATGCCGGGGTTCAGCGATTTCTCTGCGTAATGGGCAGTGCAGTAGAAGAGATGGCTCGAACCCACAACACTCCTACAGAGCAAACGAAAAACAGATCATTTGGATTTTGCTCTTTTTTTAAAGAAATGACCAAAATAAAAATATGTAATCCCTTTTTGTTTTGTTTCAGCAACATCTTTTTGGATGCCAGCAGGGAAATAGGCCCTGCTTTTGTTTTATCTCAGCCACTTCTCCACTCTTCAGTTTCACCATCTTTATCTTGGTGTGGTTTAGTTGGCTGGTTGCCTCCCTCATGGTGGCAGCCGACCATCGGGGCCCAGGCAGAGCGACGGGAGGCAATAATCCACTCCTTAAAAGTGCAGGTCTCCCTGAAGGGCATACTGTCCTTAATGTCAGTTGGGGCTGGTCAGAGAATTGTTAGCTTCCCTCTCACTGTCCAAGGCACTTTTTCACCCCACGTTTTCTTTTCTTGTGAAGAACTTGTGTTTTGGTTTCAACCTGCAATGTAGAGGAAGTGAAATGTAGCGCTTTCAACAACTTGGCAGTACTTAACAAAATATTTGATGTCCAAACAAATTACAATAAATCAAGGAAACTAGCAGGCTGTACAGCACGCTTATCATTATTGAGATTTTCACACAGTGAGATTCCGCCCTTATTTGCACAGGATTTAGTCTTAAAGTACTAAAACCTTATTTATTATTAGCTAAATATACTCAAAATCAATCATCTACTCTTACTTTAATACCATTTTAGGACTTTTACTTGTAGCAGCATTTTTTACTAAGTTGCAGTAAAACTAAGTCCAAATTGTCACATGTTTTGATAATAATGAAGCGGCTAACGTCTATAAATACAAGTGCAACACATGTAACCATGCTCTGTTTGAGGAAAGACACTACAGGCAAAAGCATGTATTTATTGCACTGGTGGTTTATGAGAATATGGGCTAAATTGCTTGATAAACAGCCTTTTTTCCCATTTAGCGTAAAGAAATCATCTAAAATTTGCATGTACAGGTTTATTTTCCTAATTGGATGTAGATGTATCCTGAATTCACCAAGATTAGCATAAGCTAATGCTCTTTTGCATAGTTAACATAACATAATATTTCAGAGAACTTGTAATACAAAACATAAATATCTAAATTTATATAACCAACTAGGTTTTAAAATGTTACCTATAGTGTCTCCCTTTAGTTTAAAGCAGAAGAAAACATTTGTTTATATTAAAGGTGATATATGTCACTGTACCTACCTTGTGTGTGCTACCCCTCTGTGCACTGCGGGCTGCCAGCTAGTCTTGTGAGAAGCCGCGCACATCTTTTGAAGTCTGAGAGAAGAAGATGAAACAGAGAGTATGAGTTGAAGCTGTTGACATATACATCATGTTGACATTGGACTGACAAAGAGTCTTTCCTCATTTTGTAAGGGCTTACATGCAGGTATCGTGCAGTCTCTGGTGTGGTGGTAGAGTCTGTACACGTGCTTCCTGCACTTTGGACCAAAGTAAAGCGGACCTGAAAAGAAAGACATGCAGCCTGTGAGAACATTTCTAACTCTCTGGGAACCTGCAGTTACATCTGGTGTACAGCCATTACAGATTGCAAGACTATCAATCACTCATCTTGTATTTTTGCCTCAGCCAGTCCAATAACATTTATTTCACAAAAGGCTGACTTTAACATACTCTTGACAGGACACCCGAGCACCAGTGACACACAAGTGGCCTCACCTGTTATATGTTTTAGGAATTTCTCCTTCTTTCTGAGATCTCTGGGGAATACGCCTGTGGAAGGAGAGAAGATAGGAAAGGAAGTGTTAGATTTAAACAGCAAGTATTTCATTCATTGAAGCATATTTTCTAAAGGGTCATCCTTCACATCACCTAAAGTCTAAGTATCTTTTGCATAAATGTAAAACTCGGATATTTAGTTAGAGGCAAACACAAAGAGAAAATAATTGTAAAGCAGTTACTTTTGGTCTTTTCCTACAACTAAAAATCTGCATGGCTAAACATATGTGTTGTTATTATCCCTTGTTAGTTAGTTCCATCAGTGTACAATGACTTTGCAATATGACTAATATTCCAGTAGGCTAGATCCTTCATTAGGCTACAGGCTACAGCATCCCCTTGAATCCACCATAGTCCCGCCCAGGAGACAAGCCGTCACTCACCGACAGTCTGATCCCCTCTGGCTGTTTTCAGCTTGCGTAAATCATTTGGATCCACCGCAGGGTTCCTCGCTGTTAACGGGGCTGCCGTTTTGGCACTGTGGCGACCCCGGTTGTCCTCCACGTGTTTCACGATCTCTACCATCCGCCTCCAGTCCTGCTGCGCGTCCCTGCCGCCTGCAGCCGACTCCAGTGCTGCCGAGGGCGCGCTCTCGCTGCTGTGGCCGGTCAGCGCGCACATCAGTAGCACTAGTGCCATAGTTACGTGTTTACGCAGACCTCTCATAGCTTCCGTGGAGAGAGAAAAAAAAGTGAAGTCCTTCTCCAACGCCTGTGGGAAAAAAGTTGAACCGGAGACCTGCAAGAGAGATCAAGCATGAATGGCGAATCAAACTGATTATCAATGACCAAGTTACACTTTGGTGTGCTAACAAGACTGTTAGCCACAAAGCTGTCCAAATGTTTTTCCTACTTAATTTGCATAAAATCACATGCATTTTGAACTCAGTTGACAAGTAAAACCACATCACGTAGATCACAATTGATGTAATTTGTCATGTTGTACTTTAATCCCTAAACTAGCCTTTATAATAAACGTCCCACATCGTATTCTATCAAAGTTTTTCGAAATTGTCCTACAGTGATTGTTGGTACACTTTTTTTTAAATATAGTTGTAAAGGTTATTCTGTAAACTCTATTCTGACCTTAAATCAGTAGAAATATGATGCATGTTTATTAGTAACCTTTACCGTTTGTCTTGGTTACTCTGTTGTTGCTTCACTGTTTTCTTTGGGAGTTCCCAGATTTGTTTAGGTTACACAAGATCATATGAGCAGGACATTAAAACAAACATGTTTATATTTAACCATGAGATGATAGAAATGCAATTACCTTCAGGCCGATAAAGCGTTTTCAAATAGGTTACTGAATACGTTCCGTGTGTCCAACAATTATGAAAATAGAAATAATGAACTGTGCGCAACTTTAGGATCCTGTTCCTGTCCGGTCCGAAGTATGTCCCATAGTCTTCTCTTCTGTATTAAAAAATGGAGCATCAGAAGTCGAGTATTATGAGTATTCGCTGAGCGTCTGTGCTCATCCTCTGAACACCGGCCAACTGCAGGGAGAGGGTTGACAAACCGCTGATAGGTCCGGTGCTCAATTCCTGAGTGCGTCCTCACTGAAGGAGCGGATCAGCTCACTTTTTATTCTGTCTCGCAGACGTCGTGAACTGTCCCCTGAGGGGTTACTCCGCCGTGTCTGTGATAATAATAAGACACATAATTGGCACTCCTGAAGCGAAAAGTCCACTTGAGTTGACTGACCATCACTTGCACGCGAAGTTCTCTGCGCACCCCTCCTTTCCGTTACTCCATTTATCTCTGCGATACGCAGTTACAGGAAGCGTTTTTCCAACTAATACTTCCAATGAAATTTCCAATTAGCCCAGCACACAGCGCAGATACCGGCATCGAAAGTCTCCCATATATCCATTTGATTCTCATAACTTCATTTAGAGCCATTGCGCACTTTACATTATCTTGGGAATTGAAACACAATTACGCACCGTTTAGGGATGATACTGAGAAAATTAATTACTCACGTTTTTAAAAGTTAGTGCACTATACTTTCAAGACAAGACAACTGACTACAGCATAGTTGAGCCTACACAAGGTTTCTCCACAAGTAGCCTACTGTGGTTGCTACAGCTTTCTTTAAGTCAGGGCGTGTATTTGGATCACACCCCCTCTACACCCCCTCTCAGTCTGACCAGTGAGGCTAGTTTACTCTATTATGAAAACATGTTGAATGAAATCAGCATGTTTCATAACTTTATGAAAATATAGTTCATGCATTGCCACGGGGCAAAAAACAATGAAAATATGACTTTAAACTTTGTGGAAGTCATCTCTGGAATACCCAACATACACTTTGTGTCTGAGTGCTGGCTTTTATAATAACTATTTGCACAACACCTCCGTTTTTTCTCTGCTAAGTATACCTCCTGTGACCATGTGAATCCTTGGTGCTGAAAGGACAGCGCGCACTGTCACCCAGCTACAACCCTCTCCTCCACACAGGGCACAGGCACTGCTCTGTGTATTCTCACAAGACATGAAGTGCCTCCCGGTATAAAGGCAGACAGGGTTCCTTGTCTAAACACTGAGCTGATTATATTTATCGACCAAAACGATGACAAAAATAATGGATATTTGGTTTCCATGGTGAGTCACACCACAATGATTAATCTTGTTTTTTGTAGATGAGAGATTATGCATCCAACTTTTAGGAAGCGTAATGAGACATCCAATAACATTGATACGATCTGTGGTTTGAGAAGATGGTAATTCCATGAACAAGCAGGTGAATTTAGATATGTATTGCATTCTTAAACCTGGAAACCAGTGTAATGACAGTAAGCATGGTGGATCTGACTTCTAACTTTCTTGCAGTGTTAAGAGAGAGAATCTAGCAAACAACCATAGTTATTAGACTATTTATGACAGTCAGGCATCCACTCATAAACTGTTCCAAATGGATAAAGTACACCTGCAGATATTTACCTCCAACACGGACTCGACTAACCTTATATACATTTCCTATTCAAAACATTAAAATGTATCAATTGGCATTCACCTTAAAGCTGCTCTGCAATGCCCACTGATCCCATTATAATGTAACACTATGATTCAATACAAACAGCAAATATTCTATTATTCACCAGATGAAATATATATATATACATAAATATTGAAATGTTAAAAAATCTGCAATTAAAAAGGCAGCAGCTTCAGCAGAGGGCGCCATTCTGCAATCACTGTTAAAATAATTCAAATGTTACTTTTATACAGTGGTGATCATAACAAACACTTACCCAGCATTTGGATGAATGACTTCCTAAATTCCTTTTTTCTTGTCACACACATTTTCATAAACCCTGCACTAGGGAGCAGTGTAGGGGTCTGGTGCCTTGCTCAAAGGCACCTTGGCATCACCCATGCCATTACTTGGCACCTCTCAAAGTACCACAATCTACACCACAAATCGAAACTAAAGAAGAAAAAAATTACTCTTGTTTTAAATGACCGGTGACGAAAAAGCAGGGTTGAAGTGTCCATGATTGTCAGTAATCTTGTAAATAGTCTGGCAAGCACGTAAGTTATGACAAAGGAATTGCTTTTTCATTCTGTGAGTTTTGGCAAAGTTCAATGGTTTGTTTTCATTGACTGATGATAAGCATGTCTCTTGCAAACTGAAAAGTTTGACAATGTGAAGACAGCAATTAGGACCAGGCGTTCAACTTTGTTGAACCTGCTTCTTATTATTTTGCAATATGACCATGTCACATGTTTTCCAATATGTGTAACCCTATGATTCATGTCCATGCACTGCTATAAAACCTCTAATTTCTCATTTTCCTTTCTTTTCTAAACTCCTAGTCATATTTTTTCCTTCTGCAAGACATTTGAATTATTTGTCAGGAGGATGTGGTTGTCTTCCCATAAACGTGCTTCTTTCTTCCTGGATTTCTTGTCCAAGTTATGAATTTCACTTCCTCCAGTCTTTGTCAGAGTGCGAGGTCTTGATGTTGACCACAGCAAAAGGAACCGCTTCTGTAATCAAGGATGTTAAACATATTTTCATTCGTGAGGGTTACATAAACTGACATAATTGATGACTGTAACCTTTAAAATCCTGGGCTGGAAACAACACATGTTAAATTGTGTTCAAATAGAAACCATGTACTTTCATTTCCTGAAAGGAAAATGTGTTTCACAAAAAACTAAGCATGATTAACATGTGCAAGTAAGCCAGCTTAGAAACATGTTCTCTTCCATCTTTCTTTTTTTTAGTATTTACCATGGTTTTTTCACACCCCTGAAATACTTATCACTGTCCGGCCCCCCTTTGTATCCATGGTTTTTTGGGCATAGAGAATCCTCCTGATAAGATCATCTTCATGGCTCAATCTACATATTTTCTCTCTATACTGTATCCATCTTTCCAGATTCTTTATGTCTCACTCCTAATACATTTAGCATATGGTTGGCTTTTACTTTGCTATAACTTGAGCGCAGTGTAAATGATAAATTATGTTGTGTATCAGTTCAGTCAGTTAGCACATGTATTGAACATGGACTTTTAAGACAGCCGTGAAAAGATATATAGTTTAAAGTTGGATACAGCTGTAAACGGACCTGCAGACCTGATTAACGTAGGAGGGAAACAGGAGTTGTAGCCTTGTGATGGTGATCTAGGTAGTATCTGGAACAACAAAGTAGACAACATAATAAATAATAAGGCAAGGCAAATGTATCTATATAGCACCTTTCAACACAAGGCAATTCAGGGTGCTTTACAAAAATGAAAGAAATTCAGACAAAGACATTTAAAAACAGTAATTAAAAAGAAAATATAATAAAATAAACAATAAAAGAAAAAATACATGAATAAAAAATACATGAATAAAAAATACATGAATAAAAAGTACATGAATAAAAAGTTACAGTGCAGTTTAAGATGTGAATAGTTCACACAGAAGTTCCACTTTACTGATGAACACAACGGCTCAGTTTCAATTAAAAGCAGCGACAAAAAGATAAGTCTTCAGCCTGGATTTAAAAGTAGTCAGAGTTGCAGCGGACCTGCAGGTTTCTGGGAGTTTGTTCCAGATATTTGGAGCATAATAACTAAACGCTGCTTCTCCATGTTTAGTTCTGACTCTGGGGACAGAAAGCTGACCAGTCCCTGAAGACCTGAGAGATCTGGATGGTTCATCATTTAGCAGGAGGTCAGAAATGTATTTTGGTCCTAAACCATTCAGTGCTTTATAAACAGCAGCAGTATTTTTGAAATCTATTCTTTGCCACACAGGAAGCCAGTGTAAAGACTTCAGAACAGGAGTGATGTGATCCACTTTCTTAGTGTTAGTGAGGACTCGAGCAGCAGCGTTCTGAATCAGCTGCAGCTTTCTAATAGATTTTTTAGTGAGACCTGTGAAGACACCATTACAGTAGTCCAGTCTACTGAAGATAAAAGCATGGACATGTTTTTCCAAATCCTGCTGTGACATTAGTCTTTTAATCCTAGATATGTTCTTTAGGTGATAGTAAGCTGATTTAGTAACTGTTTTAATGTGACTGTTGAAACCAATAACTAATTTAACCCGCTGACAAGAGAGCCCACCTCCGAAGATCGTGACTGGCTGAGGGACAGACTCGGGGCAGGTTTTCAGGAATTTCTTGGCTTCTCTCCCCCGAGCCAGAAGAGGAACACTACAGCTTGGAAACACTTACTGTTCCTGAAATTATCAAATCTGTTGGGCATCAGGGACCTGAGGCAATTGTGGCAAGCATGGCATTGTCTGAAGAGCAACAGAGGGCAATTCAGGTGGCTACCACTGGTCAGCGAACCAACCCAAACTGGCATTTGTTCAGGAAAGGAAGGTTGACTGCCAGCAACTTTGGAGCTGTCCTGAGGTCAAAGCGTGTGACTGCTTCCTTTATTGCCAGGGTGCTAGGGCAACAACAGGCCCTTGATGGTGTTTTGTCTGTACAGTGGGGGACTATGAATGAATGTGAGGGCGTCAGGGCATTCACCACTGCAACCCAGATGCAGGTCCATGAGTCAGATTTGTGGCTCTCCCAATCAGGATTGTTGGGGGCATCTCCAGATGGTCTGGTAGGGTCTTCCGCTGTGCTGGAGGTAAAGTGTCCCTACGGAGCCAGGGAAATGACAATTAGTGAAGCATTGCAAATCAAGGGCTTCTGTGTCAGTAAGAAAGGAGAAACATTCAGCCTGCGTGAGGAACATCCTTACTGGCACCAAAGTGCAAGGTCAGCTTCACCTCACTGCAAGGAAGAAGAAATAAAAAAATTGTGAACTGTTTTTAATTTTACATTTACTACTCGCCTTTGCAATGTTGGTGGTTGTTAGGGTGTTAGGTTGTTTCCTGTCAGCTCGTCTGTTGGGAAGATATAAAATATAGTTTCATGGAAGTCACACGTCGTCAACATATACTGTGAGAGGCATTAAGGACATACAAGTACATAGGCTAAAACAAAACATCTAAAGATATAACCTTGCAACTTGAATAAGTCTCGTGAACATTTTTCACTATTTTGACATTTTTTATAGATGAAAAATTGAACTAAAGAAATAAATGGTAGATTAATACATATTGAAACTGAATATAGGTTGTCAGCTGCTACACTCAATTATAATAGTTTAATATTTCTTAATAATTAAGATAAGATATTACTGTATTGATCCCAATTTTGGGAAATGTTTTGTGTGCAGCAGCATAACAGAGAAAAACAAAACGACCCC